AACAGCCACATAAAACGTTCAATATCTGGTGTTATAGATGGAAATTAATTTTGCTTAAAACTCAGTGTGGGTTCGATTTTTAATAATCTCGACCAAAACTGTAATGTTTGTTTGAATGTTTTTCTTCTGTAAACCATAGACGCTTTTAGTATCGAGTCAATCTATTAGAAACTAGACTTAATTTTCAATTATTATACAGTATTTTAAAACTCAATTTGTTTGCAATGTATTCCCTAGTTGGTGGTTAAAATTCTACATATATTAATTTAACAAGCAATCAAATACATACCGTACCAAACTCATTATAATCGTTCCTATTTATCATAATCCATTGTTAAACCGTTACGTATACGATTATTAACAATATTGACCCCACACGCTTAAGGGTGCTCGCGCCAAAAATATTATTGGATCACGATTGACAATCCGTCCATTACAAATGGACAATTGTCCGCGTTGCCAAAATGTTCGCGCGAGCCTCGAATACAAAACAGTATTGCATTTGTCGCGTCATAGATGTGGAATGTGCGAACAATACAGGCTTAACGCGAGACTCGAATCCTTAACCACAGATTAGATTTAGACTCGAGATATTATTGAAGGTGACTCGCGGTGTATCGCCCGCCAGAGGACATCTGCACGTCACCTGTCAATCGGCGATTGTGAATTCAATATGGCGACATTTTAATGCGCCCCTTACACTGTTAAATACCGCAAACATATGTTCGGAAATATTACTACACAATATTTTGTTCTATCAGCTGTGAGATGCCAAGATTTTCCACTTTTTTGCACAGTCATAAATAAAACATACGTTGACTTTACTATTTAATGGCGCACTCATTAATATAAATTACAAACAAATACTTATATAAGTAAAACACAATCTTCGTAAAAATAGTTCCGCCTATTTCTCATCGTAATAAACTTAGTTCTAGAACGCCCGCAATGCCATCGCATATATCATTGAATTAAACATACTTATAATAAATTACTATCGCAAGACGTGAGAAACATTCATTAGTTTAAGAGTAAATCCTTATAAACATACATCTGTTAGGTCGGATTAAAAATGCATATTTATGCGCAAACGTCAGAAATCTAGTGGATTCTTATTACGCGTGCGCGCAATCAGGACGAGAACGACAAATAGGGTTACCAGTTGCAAAAATCAAAATCGCAATTCTCGCTTTCACCTTTAAATTCCGTAAAAAAGTGGCTTTTTATAAAGATATTTTAGCTGTTATAATTTGCGTCAATTTCTGGTTAACTAACCGGTAAAAAACTTATAGATTTAAAGACACTTTATAAAAAATAACATAGTTTTTTTAAACAGAAGATATCTTGTCTCCTTCTTACACACATTAATATAAAATATAGTTAATGCATCCGCGTTTATATTAAAATAGCCACCACCATGTTTGTATTTAAATATTGAAACACAACAGTAGCACATAAATAAAGCGGGTGAAATTGACGCGCCAGCATCTGGTAGCCCTGAGACCGGTCGGCGAAGCCTATAAACGCGCATAAACGATTGTCAACTAGATATTATAATTAATAGACTAGACTGAAGAGGATGCGACGTCGTGTGCAACTTTATTCATTGCATTACATATGGACGGTCACGCGCAAAACGCATCTGAACTCTGAATATATAAAATACATAGTGTTCCTTAGTCTCGCAGTGGAGGACGTTCTATACGGCTAAATCAAACTGCGTAATGTCATATTTAATATAGTAATTAAATATTCTTTGCTTACTCTCTTTGAGCGAAAAGAAGCAAATAGTACGATACCCAATATTAACTTTAGGTGATAGGTCTCAGAAAATTAAGTTTAAATGGTACATTTCTGTTTAAAAATAAGAAATACTCTATGAAAATTAGCATATAATATAATAGTATGAAAAAGGGAATATGTTAAACCACAATATTATATATACCGCCACATAACCGATATTGTGTTTCGTATTTCGCGCGCGACAGTACCGCATAATAAGTATGTGCATAACTAGTGACGCTTGGGTAAGCTTCGCGGCTACTCCTCGAACACCTGACCCCAACACCTTTGACCCGACAAGATGCACCGCGTTTTGAAATACCTATTTCACTTATAAATAACACTGTTTTATATACGCCCTCCGCCTTGTCAACCCGACGAGAAATATACCGGTCTCGAAATAAACACGATAACATTTTCTCCAGTTGATGTTGATAAAATGTATTATTACTAATTCCTAACTATATAACGTTTAAGGGTTAAGTGTTTGAAGCCCGGAAAATCTTCTTTTTTTTCATTTTGGGTTGTCTGGCAGAAATCTCAATCTCAAGAAAATTATCAAAATAGGTACTATAATGTAAATATTGATGAATAAAAGAAGCTAGTATTATATTATCGTTTAATTTATCGTATAATATAATGTTTACGGTCGTAAGAGAAATTTAATATATTGCTCGCCATTAGGTAAAACACGTCTAGTAGCACTAAACTGTCCTTTTACTATTAAATATGCGATAAAATTCTTAAACTCAATAAAATATTTTTAATAGCGTCCTTTTTATATACGCTTTATCAAGAAGAGTTACGTTACGCATAAAACTTAGAGCTTAAAAGTTAAGCAAACAAATATTACATGCATACCGAATACACTTTTAACGGTTTAAAACACTGCGAGGCAAGTTTTTTATGTTTAAATTTATTATAGATAATTTAAAAAATATTTAACATCTAATTACGGCTGTTTAAAATATGTTTCGCGTTTTAATCTGATAAATATATTTTTTTAAACACGATACAATTGTTATAATAGAAATAGATGTGACTATAACGTGCATTGTCTTGGAAAGGTGAATAAGTTATCTATCATTCTTTAGTACATCCGTTAGGTGACAGATCTCAATAAAATATTACGACAAGATGACCGCATTATTCCTCATAACATTGTAACTAATTACTCAAAGATGTACTGTATATCTTATTAACGTTTCAAATCATTGATTTGCCACTATTCAGAGGGCAGAGGTTTTCCATTTAAGAGAGTATCTCAGAGCTGAGGTCCACTGACGGCTTAAGGTGCTTCAAGGCACAACACTGAGAGAAGATAATTTCTTAAACTTAAAATACCGTTTTTTTATATACTAAAAGACTTAATATTAAAGCGCATGGAAAGTTTAGTCTTTCAGTCGTTTAGTCACTTTAACCTATGCATTAAAAATATAACCTCTTTGATATAAATGCGCAGCGAAATGGCCTAACGACGTTATATTTGTTAACAGACAAAAATTCCTTCAAATCTTCAGCTAACGGTATTGGAAGACACATAGATGTACCAGAATCGTAATATCTGCCGGCGCGAACTCGTTATCAATGTCCCAAGTGATTCTCAGTCATTAGGAGTAACATAAACACAACAATGTATGTCCCATAAAGCGGGGTAAATTCTGCAACACCATTAGGATATCGTAAAGTACGGTATAAAACCTTGCACCACGCTTTTATGGCCGTCTACCTACCGCAGTGATCTAATAAATAAGTATTTAAGTCGATGTCCGTCGATGCCCGCGTACGCCAACATACAAAAGGCGGAAACATACTATTGCAACCGAAGGATAGCCTGTTAAGAAAAATACCCCGTTAGGAGCATGGGACAAACATAATATGCGCCAGACATGATCGAAAAAATAACGCTTGACGCAATTGTTTGCAATTAAGCTACTGTCAGAGCCATTTAGCAATTTATATTTAGTTTAATAGCTTATTAATCAAAACAATATTATTAAAATATTATTAGAGAAATTTTATAAGTGTTGTTGTATGTGTACTTGACTTCAGTTCATGAGTTCGCTGGTTTAGTTCCCGGTTGTGCGCCAATATATTTATATTTATTAACATTCTGACGCTTTTCATTTTCTGGTCAAATGTAGCTAAATACGAATAATAAGAAACATACTTGTCTTAATTAATTTCTTCAATTGTGTTATTAGGTCAAAGCCAATAGCGAGCCTTCGTTTTTTTCATAGTTCACTAATAATTTATGATCCATATTACCTAGTTCTAATTTCTTACATAACTCTACTAAAATAAACTATAACCTTTGTGTGTTTATATTTAATATCGGTTTGTATTTTTTGTTTATTCGTGTTGTTTTAAATCACTAACAAATATTTCAAGGGAGACTTATTCGTGAACTGAACCCAGTCCACGAACAGATACAATTTGTTTCACAAGAACAATATATACGACACTAAATGCCCGTAAAAGGTGTCAAGAATTGAGAAATCATAATCCTGCCGAACCGTTTCGGTCGTAATCGTGACGTAAGTCGTCCATAACTTTTGCTGTCGCATCGCACTAATGGAAAACAATAATAAAAATAACATAAAACCGCAGCTGTCCTCATTCCGATAAACTGTTGCACGGGTTTTCCTATCGCAGCCGTTTCCTTATTAGCAATCTAAGACAATACTTTTACATAATTAAGCGAAAACTCAAGGTCGAAAACGAAACCGTTCGACGGTTAACGGACTGGAACAGAACCCGCAGCCTATCCGACGGATGTGACGTGTACGCCGTAAACGAGATAAAGCCCAGTTTTCACTCTCGCGCCCGCGTCGCGCCCGTCCGACCGTGTAAACGCAGCTCAACCCGTAATTATAATAATTAAACGCTTATCTATTCATGATGTTAATATGAATAGAATCTATTATAATGTCGTGTGTTAAATCAAAACACAGAAGATTAACTACCTCACGCTGACATTTAAGACTTCATAAATCTTTAAAAAATATTTAAACCGCGATTCAGCTATAATAACATGACTACCGTTTGAAGGTTTTATTTAGGACTTGGCGATGTGGAATGCAATTCGCTCGTTTGGTTTCTTTTGTGTGCATTCTAGTGTATAATTTATTATGTTCTTATGTTTAAATATGACGCAATCCAATGACGATTTCTCGCTTAACATACCGAGTCTAATATACTGTTTTCTCTCTTTCCAGTCGTTCTTCGGACGGTCGTACAACAACCTAAACTCCATCACGGAATGCAAGAATAATGGAGAATGCGTCATCAACAAGAAGAACCGGACCGCCTGCAAGGCGTGCCGTTTGCGGAAGTGCCTCATGGTCGGGATGTCAAAGTCTGGCTCGAGATATGGCCGGAGGTCCAACTGGTTTAAGATTCACTGTCTCTTACAAGAGCAGCAGCAAGCCGCGCAGACGCATTCTCCACCGCGAGTTCCGCCCTCCCCACACCACATGGCACCGCCTTTCCCGCCACATCTGTTCCCGGGACTAGCGAGACCGAGATCGAAAGAAGAGTTAGCGCTCTTGGGCTTGGATGACTACAAACCTTCAGGATCCCCAGACTCTCATCGCAGCGATTCCTCTCCAAAATTAGATGAAAAATCCAGGATCACACATTCACGCCAATCGGAAAGACCGCTTACCCCACCGAGAGATTTCGTGCCTCTCCCGCTAGCCAACATCTCCTTGCCGCACTTCCCTCACTCGCCTTTTCTCCCCCCACCACCATTCAGCCCGTTCGCGCATAACCATCCCCTTCTATTTCCCCCCTGGCTTCCACCCGATATACTCGAGACATCTGCTCGATCACGCGGCCTTGCGACATGCAGAAAATAACAATGATGTCAGAATTGACGACCACAACACTGAATCGTCTAAGAGATTCTTCTTGGATGAAATATTGAAACAGCAGCGCTCAGTACCGACACCGCAAGAGGATATATCAGAAGCGGAGTTCGTACCCACGCCCCCAGCGGAGAGGAGAACTTCAGAGTCTCCCCTACAAGAGAACCCAATGGATCTGTCGGTAAAATCAGACGGCAGATCTAGTTCGGCCCGGCGGCGGTCCGACGATAGCGAAATGATAGCCCCAGACCACGACGACCCAGAGTCGGGGAGCGATCGCGCTTCCGTCAGCGAAGAGGAGGACGTCTCCTATCCCCAAATTAAGAGAATCAAACTCCACCCCCTGGATTTAACGACCAAAGTCTGACGGCGACGTCACAGTGCTCCAGGCCAGTATCGGATTGTGATTAATATAAGTAGGACGATTGAGAATTGTTATGAAATAAAGAGTCTATCCAAATACGTATTATAAGTAGATTAGTGAATTGGTTCTAGGCCCGGTTAAGGGATGTACAAATCGCTTGTAAATATTAAATTATTCTTTAGTTCTAGTTCTAGTTATTCGGTTTACGAATGAGCCGGGCGCGACATTCCGTAAATAATGTATTCGTTTATAATTTATTCTGTTTTAGTAGAATTTTGTTTTTAACTTTTTGACCAGTGTTTCGGGTGCATTATCTCTAGTATTCTCCTAGTGGAAGTAATATATTTGGCGAAGTTTAAGAGCGACGGCCACTTAAATTTTTTATCACAAAGTTTTTGTAAATATTGTAATCTATAAAAGTATTTTGTATTTGAAAAGCGTTAAAAGTTTAATATATTATTTTCGAAAGTAAAACTCGCATGTAATCAGTAAAACAGCGAAACAACGTTTTATTATTAATTGTGAATTTAATACAGTTGTATTAAGCTGTACCTGTAATGACATTCCTGTAATGTAAATGCTCAAGGCTCAAATTGTATTCTTTATTGTACTTATTGTGAATAATTCACACATACTCAAACCTAAATATATTTTGGAAGTGTTTTTGTATATACTGTAGTTAGATTGTTTGATGAATGCAGTCTCTAGGGACGTACAAAATAAAATATTCGTGCACTCGACTTTTTGTCTTATTTAAATAACCCCAAACACAATTAAACGATAATCAAAAGCTAAACATTAGTAAAACCTTGTATTTTTAGATTAAAAACCAATATTTATTATTAATTAAAGCTGTATCACAAAGACGGTCGTTCATAATACGTCGACACACACTTAGAACAAGACATAGCACTAACAATACTTGAACGGGAACGGGAGCCGTGGTCATTTCCAAATAAGTTTAACTAATATATCGCGTTTGAAGCCGTTAAAGTGTTTTATTTAAATTAAACCTCTTGCTGCACTGCGTGAGGTGTAGGTGATGCTAAAACCGAATATATACTCGTACCATTTAGCAACTTATTATTATTATTATTGCAATGTTGATTGCCCCATTAGTTATTGTTAGATATCTCATAACCTATAAATTGTGAGTTCGATTCTAATCAATGTTTGATTTTTCTGAAACATGTTGTACTTCGTTTGGAAATCTGGTGGTTTGAGTGGTAGGACTATCAATATTTAATTCGGGTCACGAACCAACATCCACAGATTAAAGAGCCGTGTAGTTTAACTGCATTTCAGTTTCAACCTGTGGACTTCCGAATATGCAAGCCCAAATTGTTCGACAGTGTATCTTGTTTAGATGTTATATGGTTGGCGTACTTCACCTTACATCAAGTGAAGTGTTATGTATCGATGACTTTGCCCAACCGTAGATAACTCAATATGTATTATCCAGGATTGCTCGACACAGTATATACGGGGTGTGTATGAAATCCCGTTTCCCCTCTTGGGGCATGGGGCGAATACATTTCTGTGTCCGTTTCACTGATCCGTTAATATATGTGGTAGACCCGGTTTAATACGATTACAACCTAAATATAATTTGCACTATTGCGCTGTAATGGTATCTTCTATAAATTGCGCATCCATTAACAATTTGCCGCTTGAGCATTCACGAAAACGCATGTCAAAGATCAATGTACAGCAATTATTTCTAAATAGTCGTTACATAACGTGCAAAACAAATGATGAACTTGTATATAAGAATGTAATACACCACTGCACTATAATTTTTTAAACTATTTTACTCTGGGTTAAGTTGAAATTATTTGAGATTGAGTACCTATTGAGATTATTTGAAAGATCTCCTAAACAAAGAAATTCATGTATTAACACAGACATATACAGAGTTAATTATAACTATATGACGAAATTAACCTCTAAGACAACAAAATTTTCGTTTACACGTGTACTTAGTTACCTGAGTGAATGTATAATATATTATTTAGTTAATAGAAATTATGCTAACGATTTCTCAATGAATTAAAAGTCTTATTTGCATCCTCTCTTAAGAAAAACTGAATTTGAACTATTTTCAAACATTTAGCCCTGTGAAAACTTAAATTTTAACATAGTGAACATGATGGCATTATAGGTACAAATAAAAATCACATAGTGTCTTAGGACACGGTTGCTCAATTGGTAAGAGCAATAGCATCGTACGCTCTGAATGTAGGTTCAAGTCCAGGCAGTCAGTAATTTTTTTTTAACTGAGATCGATTTTTAATTAATTTACCCACTGTTTCATGTTTTTACCGCAACCGTTAATTCTTAACTAGGAATAAGTCGCGTTTTAATTCGTTAACAACAATAGTGTTTTAGTGTTCGTTGCACTGATCCGTTCTTTAACAGGCAAGTAGATCAGACTTCTATGCCCTGCCCGACCGAAACAATTTTTTACCTGGGATTCGAACCCAGGACCTCTCGTGCGTAACGCAATGCTAAGCAATACGTTTAACCATTTGGCTACAGAGGCGGTCAACAAACTACAGACAAGGTACCGAATAAAAGATTTAGCTTTTTTTTTACTTCTTAGTAAATACAATCGACTAAAGCTGCCGACTCTGAGGCTGGTATCAAAACTAGGAATCTGTTTGCGAAGTCAGATTAATTAAAACAATAATCGTCTATCTTTTTACTTATACCACCTTTATAGTCAACAACCTATTACATTATGCTATATACCTCTTCTACTGATCGACTATATGATATTCTATTAAAGGATTTTTACCTAGACAATATATAGTGGTAATAAAAAAGAATATTGTATTATTTCATACGTACAGAGAGAAACATTACCTCTTTACAGATTGACACAGTGGTTACTCGATTATGCGAAAAGCCTAAGCTAAACTGTGAAATTGTTCGTCCCATTATGCCCAAATTCCCTAGGGACATAGGGCATTTACTTTAAACAAAAGCATATATTTAAAAACTTAATCACTACTGATTAGATTTCTGTAGGTACCCTGCCGAACCAAAACTATTTTGATTTCCTTGGATTCTCTGGACCTCTTTTGCGGTTTCAATTTGATTGCGTTTAATCCAAGCGACGGAGCTCAGCCTGATTGTATGTCATATATATATCTAAATTTAGTCAAAAGCGCATTCGACAACCCACCCTAGATTCGAGATTAACTTAAATTAAAAACAAATCCGCAATAATTAGTTTTCCGGCAAGGATAAGGATGTTCAGCGTAAATTACTGAAGTAATGAGAGCCGTAGAATAGTTGAACATTAAATAGTAATATTTCGAGAGATCGTCTTAAAATAGTAAAACAGGCTGCGTTTAATGGGCCAGCCGTATGTGAGCGGGCGCGCCTTGACCCGACATACTGTGCATCTTCAGACATGGACATAAATTTGCTGGAATCGAATTATACCTAAGTGAAAAGTACGAAAATTCGAATTTACATATTTACTGAAATAGAGAACACAGACTAAAATAAGAATTAAATATCGGTAAAATATACCTGTAACTATTTTTTTATCGTATTTATATATTCATTATATTAAGATTCAGCGTTTGTGATGTATTTAGTGGATGAGCCTCTATGAAATAAATAAATAGATTTAAGAAATATTGTAGGTATTATTATAATTAAAAATATTAATGTTAAACGCCTACATCATAATCGATGTACTGATTGACTTTAAGAACAAACCTGGAACAAACATATTTCTCTTTGTGAGCCACTTTCATAAATATTTTAAATTAAAATCTTAATAAGATATTAAACATAGCAGCATAAATTCTTAGAATTTCGAATCTAAATTTCAGAAATTTGATATATTGAAATAATTGTGCCACATCTAGCAACTATAACTCAAAAGCCGAGAAATAACGCAAGTTAAAGCTTGTGTAACAGTAGTAAAGTCACAATAACCATGTTATAGGTCATTTTGTATTGAATACGTAATTAAATGCCCCTCTCCCGCCTCCCAGCGCCGCACACATCCATAGAAATTGTGCACGTGAGGTATGGTTTTGTTTGACAGCTGTCATAAATAATATCTGCCTGATCCTTAATAGATTCTAATTGAATGCGTGTTTGCATTGTGTTTGCACTTGGCTTCGTTCGAAGCGGGCGCCATTTTAATAGATATGTAACACTCCATAGTACACTGACACATATGTTACAATAATAAAACTATGAAACAATACAGCTAAAATAAGAGACATTTCAGATCAAAACTCAATAACAAATCAAATTCATATGCAGGGCCCTAGAATACAAAGAAAGTCTCTCGAATACGTCTTCATATCCACTTGAACTTATAAGGAATCATAATCCAATATATCACGCATTAAATTATATCCCACAAAGCGACACAATAAAGTGTTATTGCCTGCGATGATTAACGCGTAACGTCCAGAATGTCGCTAAACTGCCCATTATAGGCTTTACCTTTACTTCGAGTTAGCTAGAGCGCGCCAGCGCTTATGAACCATGCCTATATACTCTGTTTAATAAATTTATTTTCTTTATAACCTTAATGAATGAATATATAAGATGTGTCACCTAAATAATAAAAAGATAATATTACATATAACCTCGACTACTAATGGTTTATATCTACGTTACAGTGTTTCAGTGTTACAGAGGTGGTATAATACTGATCAAGGGACCAGTATAATCTGTTTAAGAAGACAACGGTCACTAATTCCATGACCTTCCCCAGCAAGTAGCGGGTGATGACCTCAAACAATATATTTGATTATATATTTGATTTCGATATTGACAATTGAATGAATGTGGTTTATAGGTATCAAATTATATCAGACAGATTGAAATGTAAACGCTTAAATTGCTTTATATTCTTAAGAAAATAGGACATACAAATTATTTTAATGCCTTCGGACTTATTTCAATTAAGTCTTACTAATAAAATTTAAATATAACCTCATGTAATATTGCAATGCCAGCTCAAAGAA